TAAAACTATTTAAAATATTGAATGTTGAATAAATATTAAAACTATAATGATTGATGGAAATTTATTCAAAAATTGATTATTTATTTAGATATTGACTATTCATTTATGTATTGATCATTTAATTAGATATTGATTATTTATTTAGATATTGATTATTTATTAAATATTGAGTTAATTATTGATGACAAATTAATTACTCTATGATGAATCAGAATCGTGTTTTGTGAATTGTGGTGGAAATATGTTGATTTTTGTGAATTACTTGCTAGGTGCTATGTGGAGTGGTAATGTTTAAATTAAGAATGTCTTAATTATGAAAATGTGATTGTGTGCGCAAATGTGTGGTAATTCAAGTGTTGTGAATTATTGAAGATATGCATGAATGTTAAGATTAGGGAATGGTCTTAATAGCATATGGTTGTTGAATTTGCATACGTATCATTTGTGTCAAGAGACAATGCTTGTTAGTTCCGTGGGAGCTAGTGACTTGTCCCAAACCTAGAGCGGAGTTTGAAAGCTTAGGGAATGAGCTTTTTGTGTGTTATTGGTCTAGGGAACGGACCCGGTTTAAGTGTAAAAACTGAAAAATAATAACGAGTGTTGGTACCACATGGCATGAGTTGCATTGAGTCTTGCATTGAGTTTTGCATTGAGTCTCATTATGTATATTTATGTGCTATGAGATTACGTGTGATATGTGGAACTGATAAATTGGTGAATTATGGAGTTGTGTGTATATACTTATGAATAGTATGGTTACTTGAATAATATTGTGTTGATAAAACTTTTGAAGTGTGAGAATAATAGTGATTATGTTTGTATGCCTTAAATTATATATTATCTTATAATTTCAATAATTATGTGAATTCTCACCCTTCTGTTGGAATGATGTTTTATACGACATCGCTCAGGTACTGAGGAGTAGAGTTGCTTCTAGCACGAGGTAGCCGTTGGAGTAGCTTGAGTTGTGTCTTTATTTATTTTGGGTCGAGTCATGCTCTGATTATGTAACACCAGGGGAATATTTTGATTTCATATTTGGAGAGATATTTTATGTACTCTACTTTATTCTGTTGCTGTTATTTTGAATTATATGAAGAATTGGCTTTTAAGCCTAAGTATTAAAAATGAGATGAGCATGAGACTTTTATTATGTCTATCATGATTAAAGCAAATCCGCTGCTACATGTTAATGTGAAGGTGTATGAAAAGCAGAAAGTATTTTTTTATATTATTGAGCATGACAGGTGTTGTGTAATGTTTTGAAAATTTATGTGACACCCTTTTGTGAAATGCATGATAATTACTCTGATTTATTTATATTTATTCTGCGGGGTTAGAAGGGTGTTACATTGATCACCTGCACGTTATCCACTTAGAGTTAACATTCAATCAGGCAGGGTGAGTAATCACAAATCATTACAAAAGGTATAAGAAATAGATATAGTAGTTACATGGGGTGAACTAGATGAACTGGATGTGAAAACAGAAGGGTGACACGATCGCCCGTATCAGCAAGTCTGGGTAAGTTGTTGTTTTCATGTTGTGAACAAGGAGCCAACACGGCTGCCCGTGTCGCCTGATACGACCCGTGTTGGCCTGGACGTGTCATCCTCTATTTGTCTGATTTTGTTGACTATTTTGACCCCTGAGGGTATTTTTGAAAATTATTTACTATTGTATTGGATCTTGTGGTATTTTAGACGCATTCTGAGAAAGAAACTGAGACTTTTAGACCAGAGAAAAAATTAACGATGAAGAATTGAGCGATCAAGAACCAAGGGAGAATGGAAGGTTTTCATGCCCAGGAGCAATTGAAGATCAAAGTAATCCCAAAAATTTGTGTAATGTTTAATCTAATTGTTGAATTTGCTTTGAATACTATGAGTAGCTAAATCCCCCAATGCTACGGGGTGTCCCTGAATTGCTTATCTACTAATATTGTTTCCTTTATTTAAATGACATAAGCGCTTATTTTATTAATCGAGTTTATCGTTTATTGATTTTACAGATTTTTCAATCGGACAAATTGATTTAGTTTTACGGTTAACCTTAGGTCAGACAAACCATTGTTAACGCAATTTGATCGATAATGCTTCAGTAGATATTTCCTAGGATTAGGAATACCCTATTGTACTTGAACACTGTTGAGACTATTTTCAATGTTTGATTTCAAACTAATTATCTATGGACATAGTAATTAGGTTATGATATTAAGAGGTTTTCTCACTAAGACTTTAGGAGTAAACAAATTTCCAGTCAAGAACTTGATAAAATTTGACTATGTCTTTGAAATAAGGATTGATATTGTTATAAGACAATTCATACACTACCCCTAGTATGCTCTCATATTTGTTTGAATCTTATTCTATAATTTGCTTTATTTTTAACATTGAACTTTTTAATAGTAAAACCACTTTTAAAACCCCCAATTGATTTTTATTTGATTGAATCAAAATTAAGTTTGTATTGTCTGATGCAGTCCTTGAGATCGATAATGGGGATAAAACCCTCATTTTAACTATAATCGGCAGAATAGCTTACTATTTTTCCGATCAAGTTTTTGGCGCTGTTGTCGGGGACTGCCAAAATATAAGATGAATTTTAATTCAATCAAAATTTTGTTGCTCTGCGACTAAAATTTTATTTTCTGTTTAATTTTAGATTAATTTCTATTATAACTAATATCTGTCTAATATGTGTATACGAGGAAAGCCCTCAGCTGAGTTTCTTTTTGACACAGAGCCAGAAAGATCACTGCATGCGAGACGTTGTCAAGTGAAAATAATATTTTAAGAAACAATATGCATCTAAACATCATTTTATATAATTTTAAAAATGAAAATGTGATGTATACATATTCATTTAGTGTATTTAAAAAAAAAACAAATATATGTTCAATGTATATTTATAGTTTTAGAAGTATTTTATGTTTTAAAGTCAAAGTTTATTAAAATAATAATATTAAGATTGAATTCAAAATAGAAACTTACAAATTTTAAAATAATATGTAAAGATAAATTTATGCAATTATTGTTCACACAAATAACACATTAATGTTATATGATAAATTTTAAAGAAGTATATATTATATTTAAAAATTAATATGCATATATAAAAGTCATGTTATATAACTTTTAAAATGAAAATCGTGTGATATAAACATATTCAGTCAATGTATTTGAACAAAAAAAACGAATACATGTTCAATGTATTTTTATATAATTTTAAAAGTATTTTATTTTTTAAGATAAAATATTATTATAATAATAATATTGAAATTGAATTTAAATCATTTAGAAACTTACGAATTTTAAACGAATATTTCAATTTTGGTTCAACTATTATCATTCATTGACGAAATCAAATTTCACTATTTTATTTTTAAAGAGCTTTAGTCATCATATATTTTTTAGTTAGAAATATGTTAATATGTAACTTTTTTAATATGTGATTTGTATTGGGCGACATAGATGTTTAATCACATTTAAGATGTCTTTTTTATTTTGTTATATTTATTAAACTAGTAAGATATTTGTGCATTTGCACGAGTAAATTTATTTAATATGATATAAAATATACTTCCTCAAACTTATTTATAAGTAAGAGTATTTTAAATTTTTTATCTTAAATATAAACAAATGTCAACAAATATAAGCATATTTAATGTTTTTTTTTAATCAAAGGAAGAATATATATTAATTCAAAAAATAGTTAGTACAGCAGAAGGTGATCCTGGAGGATCCAACCCAACAAAAAGTTCCAATTACATCATATAACTAACTAGATGTTTCCTAATTTTAGGATTTTGCCAACCTCTGTAGATTACATTATCTATAATGTTAGTATCCACGGTTGTATTATCTACACTGTTACCAAATGTAATACTATTACGATACCCCTAAATGCAGTGAATGGTTTCGGCCACTAACATTTTAAAAACATCCACTTTCCACCCTTTCCCTTTTGTCATGTTACTGATCCAAACCAGCTTTGCTTCCTAATGTTGAGGTGAATGACATACGTTAAACCATTGGAGCACCTTCATCCAGATGTGTCTAGTCCCTTGGCAACAGAAAAAAAAAAAGATGATTCATCGTCTCTTCCTCAGTTTGACATAAGTTGCACTGGTTGTTTTGAATCATGTCAAACCACTTTAATCTATCCTTGGTTGCAAGTTTTCCCTGACAAGCTTGCCATAAACAAAACACTGCTCGCGGCCGGCTCTTATTGTTTCTAATCAAGGTTCTCCAAGGCACCCTTGTGCCGTCATCAATCAGCACTTTGTAAAAAACCGACGCCTTAAACTTTTGGTAGTTCAGAAGTTGGTCCCATTCGTTCCGAATTAAATCCATGGTATCTCTTTGTTTCAAAATACCGTGAATGATCCAAGAGTTGTGAGTTTTGGTTTCGTAATTCATGATGTGTTTTCCTTTTAGGTAATGAATATGAACCCATTTCACCCAAAGAGAATCAGTTTTGCTGCACATGTTCCATAAACATTTCAAAAGCAGAACATTGTTCCAAATCTGCAGATTAACCAAGTTCAAACCACCCTGAGCAATAGGACAGCAAGTGTGTTTCCAAGTCACAGGGCATTTTCTGCTCACCGTATCCTTACCGGTCCAGATGAAACTGCGACAGATGGAGTCAATTTTCTTGATCACAGTTTTTGGCATGGGAAGACAATGCAGCCAATATTGAACCATTGCAGAGGCTATACTTTTCACCAGTTGAATTCTACCGGCATAGCTTAACACTTTAGAAGACCAATGGTGGATTCTTGCCACTATTCTATCCACCAAGGGCATAAAATGGTTAATGTTTAATTTTCTGCCAGCTAGAGGAATTCCTAGGTAACGGAAAGGAAGCGATCCTTCTTGAAAACCTGATAGCTCTGTCAAGCTCTTTCTCTTCACAGTGTCCAGACCTCCAAAATAAATCTTGCATTTGTTAGGGTTCATAATTAACCCCGTGGAATTGGAGAAAACCATGAACGTTCAAAGAATCATTTGTAAAGAAATATCATCGCCTCGGCAGAATAACAACACATCATCTGCAAAAGTGAGGTTGGTGATTTTCAATTTCTCACACTTGGCATGGTAGTTGAAATTAGGGTCTCTTTGCATTTTTTCCATCAACCTGTTCATATATTCCATAATTAAAACAAAGAGCATAGGTGATAAAGGATCACCCTGTCGAATTCCCCTTTTGGCCTGAAGTATATCTGTGTATTCACTCATAATGTTAAATCTGTATGAAACAGTGGTGATGCCTAGCATAATACATTGGATGAATTTGGTAGGGAATCCCATCTCCTTTATGATGCACTCAAGAGCCTTCTAATTAATCATATCGTATGCTTTTTGAAGATCTAATTGCATCATGATCTTAGGTGTACCTCATTTTCTGTTGTAGCCCTTAAGTAATTCAGTAGCAAGCATGATGTGGTTATGGATATTCTGGCCTGGCACGAAAGCTGCTTTATTTTGATTAACCACACTTAGAATGACAGTTCTTAATCTGTTAGTCAGTATTTTGGAAATAATCTTATAGAAAGTGGTGCAGACAACTATAGGTCATTAGTCTTGGATTACACTAGCATTATGGCCTTTAGGAATCAAGGATACTACATCATTGTTGAACGCTTTGTATATCTTACCTGCTTCAAAAAAATCCTTAACAATTGCTATCACATCATCTTTAATAGTTGTCCAGCTGGTTTTAAATAACTTGGCTCCAAACCCATCCAGCCCTGGAGCTTTGAGGTTTCCAATTCCCTTTAGGGCTATGGTAATGTCATTTTCTGATATGGGTCTGATAAGGTAATCTCTTTGGTCCATGTGAAGCTTTTTTCCCATTCGCATGGCCTCTATATCAATGTGATTTATCTTCTCAGTATTTTTACCCATTAGGTTGTTGTAGAAATTGATCACCTCATCTTTAATGTCAGCTTTGGATGTTATCAGTCTGCCATCAATCTTCTCCAGGTTGTTAAGACAATTGGAGTGATTTCTGGATTTTATAGCAACATAGAAAATTGGTTGTTGCCATCTCCCTTCCTAATCCAGTCAATCTTTGCTCTTTGATGCAGAATCTTCCACTCCATTTCATTCAGAGTTATCACTTCTTCTGTCAGCTCTTTTGCTTTCCCAATTAAGTTGTTATTCATCCTGTCATTCCTCAGCTTTTCTTGAGTTTCATTAAGGGTCTTCCTAGCAGATATCAAATTGGTTGTTACAACAGAAAGAGGTTTGTTGAATTGCTTTAAGTCCTGCTTCAATCTCTTGAGTTTGTGCCATAGAACAAACATTGGACTTCCCCTAATGTGGACCTCCCAATTCCTCTTTACCACAATGTCATAACCAGGCATATCAACAATGCAGTTGCTGAATTTAAATTGTTTGGAGGGTTTCCAATGATCTTGGTTATAAACCAAATAGAGCATGGCATGGTCAGAGATATTATGAGGGAGGATCTTTAGAGTAGTCTCCATATTATTGAGAAACCAATCAGTATTGCCTAGCACTTTATCAATTCTTGAGTAAATGGGACCAGCTGTTTGTTTATTGGACCAAGTAAAATGATCCCCAATGCTATCCATTTCACTTAAACCAGTTTTCCTCATCATATTTGCCAGGTCAACATATTCTCTCTCAGTCACTAGATTCCCTCCAATTCTGTCTTGAGATTTGGTCACATTGTTGTAATCACCAATAACACACCAAGGCCCTTGGCTGCTAACAGATATGTGTTCTATTTCTGCCCACAAGGTTTTCCTTTGATTTAGATGGTTATGTGCATAAACAGCAGTAAGCCAGTGTTTGAAAACTCCATAATTATCAAAGATACCACAGTGTATACATTGGTTGCTACTTCGAATGAATTGCACATTCACCCTGTTAACATCCCAATGAATCCAGATTCTACCATTTGGATGGTCTTTTTAGTTGTCAATGTGATTTCCATATATCATCAATTTCTCGCGAATGGTCTTGGCTTTGGTTTCTTTAACTCTGGTTTCAATCAAAATAATAATAGCAGGCTTTAGCTCTTGGAGACGGGACCGAATCTCACGAATTTTGCCTACTTTATTGAGTCCCCTTATGTTCCATGAGACTATCATGGTTCAAGGCTGATGGTCACTTGATGATCATTCAAAATCTCAAGTGCCTCAAAACCATTGTTACAGTTGACGTTGTTGTTTGTATTAGTAGCTATGCTTTTTCCTTTATCCCTAACAGACTTCCGAGCTCTTGTCCAAGAATCACTTCCTTCACCTGCTGTTTCCTCTCTTTCGGGTGGTTTGGCAGGATTAATGTTAGTGGACATTTCAGGTGGTTTGAGCTTTGGCTTCCAATGTTGCTTCTTTCCACGATCTTCACATTTATGCCCCATTTTTTGACATGTATCACAGAATTTTGGTTTCCATTCATAACTCACAGCCTGCATTATTATATCACCTTCAACATTTCTAATGGCTATTTCATCAATCAGCGGTTGTGTGATGTCTACCTCAATCAGTAATATTGCATATGAGACACGAAGCTTATTTGCAGTGCATTCATCCGTCACCAACGGTTTGCCAATAGCGCTTCCAATTTTGTTGAGACTTTTTGCCCCCCATAGATGCAGGGGAAGTTGGGGAAGTTTGACCCAAATAGGTAAAGTTCTTAGCAAATCCTTCTTTAGGTTGAAACTGTTGCACCCTAAAAATTTGTCCAACCTTATTCACTTGGTTTATGTTTCAATTGCATTAGCATTTGCATATAGGGCCATGTACATAGGTCACTCATCTGCATAGCATAAGCATAGCAAGTCAGCTAACAAGGGACCAATCATTATTCTCATCTCTAGAGGCCTATCAAGAGGTTATTATCCTGATTCAACCTCATTCAAGTCATCAGAAAAGAATTTGGAAGCTATCAAGTCAATGGATCAAGCAGTTCATCTATCTCCTAACTGAGGGTGTCTGAGGATCAACAAAGAAATGGTGAGCTGTGGGCTGAGCATGGGGAGTATCTAGACATCTTGGAGGACTTAAAAAGTCATTTGGAGAAGAAAACAAGTTGTTGATGTGATCACAAGAATTGCAGTTGAAGACAGTCAACTGGGGTTTCATCTGGGTCAACCCTAGGTCAACCCTAGGTCAATTGATTGATTTAAGGGCATTCAGGTCTATTGAAGAGATGTGGGGTTCATCATTTGACATGGAGAATAAGGATATGTTGTTATGCTAAGAAGAAATCAAGAGAAATCAAGGAGAAGAGGAGTTTCTAAATTAGGGTTTCTATGTAAAATCCCCTAGTTTAGGTCAAATTTCCAAGCAAGATAAGTCAAAATGCAAACTTCAAATGGATCCTTGGCCAACATGAAACTTGTAGAGGATCTCAAGACCTTTAATTTGAGTGGTGGAAGACATCAAGGAGATTTATATAACTCAAGTTGTGGTCCTTGCAAGTTACAGGTCATCTGAGGTATCTGAAATTTTGTCTGTGAAAGTGACTTGACTTCCAAGCAATTTTTACCCCTCAAGGAGATTTCAAATGGATTTATGGTCAACATAAGAATTGTTCCTTATTGTCTTAGCTTTCTAGAATGGTATAGTATGCCTTCATATGATTTGGTAAACTCTACTTATGGTCTTGGCAAGCAAAGGGTATTTTGGTCATTTGTGAATTACAGGTCATTTTAACCTATGCCCAAAACTCATACAAGGAGGCCTCAAATGGAAAAACTTACAACATCAAACTTGCTCCAAATGACATTTTGAGTCTAGAAAAGTGACCATGAGAGATTGGAAAGATTCATAGCACAAGGTTTCAAAATTGTTGAATTTAATGAATAAAAATGGCCTTAAAAATGAGATTTTTCATATCTTGGCCAAATGAAGCAAAATTATAGGTCATTTTGAATGGAAAAGGCATTTTAAAGACATTGGCTAAAGTGGAATTTTGAGTTTAGTTCAAGATTTAAGAGTTATCCATGGTTGCTTGCAATGTAAGAAACATAATCAACATCCAAGGGAATTTGCACAAGGGAAACTTCTCCAAGTTTCTAGGAGGTTCTAACCTCATCTATATATTCATACAAGTTGGTTCATGCCATGGTTGGTGCTTCCATTTGTTCAAAACCCCAAATTTTCCACACTTTCTTCAACTTGCATAAGCTTTCCAAAATCTCTATAATCTCCATCAATCTTCACTATTCTTGATTGAATCTTCACCATCATCATACAAGGATCAGAATCCACACCTTCATTTGGCAAATTGAAGAAGGAATTGTGCCATTCATCATCATCATTCAAGAAGCATAAACTTTGGAATTGAGAGATTCACATCCTTGGATTCATACCTGTTGCATACAGAAGTCACCATTGGGTTCTTGGATCATTTTCCACTCATTTCAAGCTATAAATCAAGAGGTTCTGGAAGCTGTTTCCTTCATTTTGCATAAGGTAAGTTTTCATTCGAATTGCTTAGTTTAGGTAGAATCTTAGGGTTTTGGCAGTGTAGAATGGTTAGGCATAAGTAGATGATTGATTTTGGTAAGTTTGGCTGAGTTTCATGGATATTGGGAATGAGGTACCAAATCTGTTGGAGCTTGTAATTGCTAAGATAAGGCCTGAGAATGTTATTGGATTAGCATGCTATGATCAGGATGAATGGTAGATCAGTTTAGGATAAGTTTGGTGGAGAATTAGAGCAGTTGATAGCAGTTGGAAATGGTGGATCGTATCTGTTATGTCTATCGAATTGTTTTATTGAATGAGTTTTAGAATGAGCTTTTGGCATGGCTGTGTAGAGGAGTTGATATAGAACAAGTTTGCTGTTGGAAGTATCTGATTTCGTGGAGAAGAGGGAGAGAACAGGGAGCTCGAAGGTGTGTGGATGGTTAGGGTTTTCTGAGTTAGGGTTTGGGCTCAAGGTTGAAGACGACCTTGGAGCCACACGATGAGGCTTGGACGTTTGACTCAAATCTCCATCCAACGGTCCACATTTAAAATGAGAAATGGAGGGAGCTGACTGAAATGAAATGCGGCGTTTCATTTAATTGAAATTCTGGGCCCTGGATCCATGTTGCTAATCACACCCCTCAACCAACAAGCCCAAGCATTTCAACGTGATTCTACTGCTATTTACACCGAGTCCTTTTTTATTTTCCTGGTATTTTTCCAATTGATTTTCTGAGCGCATTGGGCCTGGTATTTTTGATATTTGCACCTCCAGTCCTATGGCCCATCATGAATTTGAACTGCAGCGCATGACTATGCTCACCCCCCTTCATCTATTCCTTTATATTTTCTTTTTACTTTCTTTACATTTTTCATGCATCTTATAAAAATCATATAAAATAGAAAAAACATTATTTTTAATTCATTCTTTTTGCATTATTTTCTTTAAAGAGTCTAGAAAATTGTAAAAAATAAAAATTGCATTTTATTTTTTATTTGATATTTTTCCCATATTTTCCAAATAAATAGCATTTTAAATAGTTTCATTTCATACATGATTTTGTTATTTTTTGTTCTATTAGATGCTTCAATATTTTTCACCCATTCTTTTTAGGTTGTTTAACTTGTAGATACAATTTAATTCCCATTTTTAGAAATTAATTTTAGGTGTTTAGTTTAAGTGTGAACAACATGAACAAACTAGGGTTTTAGGTGATGACTTAGGAGAATCAATTCATTTCCCTTAGGACTTAGAGATTGAATAGGTTAGCTATGGGACTATAGGGGCTATGAGTAGTTATTAGATCCCCTTAGAAAAAAGTCATGATTCCCCTACTGCTATTAATATACTGTATATCTGATTGACTGATGTGGTGTGCCCTCTGGGGATTATTGCTTGTCTGTGTGGGTATT